AATTACGGTTTCCTGTTAAGGCAATTTTTCTGGTAATAGATTCTAATGTGTCTATAGTCTCCTTCATAATTTCTCAACTGGAGATTAGAAGACTCTCAAAACAAAATAATAAAGAATTTTCCCATCTCTGAAACTGTTCAAGACTTCGCTTAAGGGCCATGTACTTGTTCTTCACATAAGGAGTCCTACTTGCTGAAAAGTAAGGTCCTACTGCTGGTTTCTACTGGGCCTTGAGGGTGAAGCAGGAGTATGCAGGCATGTGTGTACAGGAAGTGGCCTTCTTAGTAAAACAAGATGCAAAACCCTTCTGCGCTGGAAATCTGAAAGGACAGTCTCCAGGTGGAAAGGGATTCTATGGCTACACTTGAGGCTAAGCCTTTGCACTTTATTTCCCTGAGGGTTCACTCCCAAGTAATAGGAAAAGTGCTGCTAACCCCTACTGCATCAACTATTCTTCCCTTTAGAGAGGCTCAGAGAGTTGCAAAATTCCCTTTCAATGTTTGACCTTAGTACAAATTTTACATAAAATCGAGCAGAGGGCAAAAGGAAGATCATTATAGAAAACATAAATAACACAAAAAGTGGTATTTCTCAAGTACAGGTTTCTGATTCTAAAAATCGCCTTCGGAGTAGCCAGAACTTTCCCAAGTGTGCTCTAACCTGATGGCTGGCTAGTGTAAATTAACAGGACCTATGCCCAATTTCTTCTTCCTTGGTTCCCCACCTGTCTCTCAGCCACGTGGCCTTAGGGCACAGAAGGTCTCCCCAGCACACAGGCCTGCTTCTACTGTCTACCTGGTCATCGCACTTTATTCATGGGCAAACACAAATTCCTTCCAAAAGCCAAAGAAAGCCCTTTCCTGTTTCAAACTTCCTACAGTCCCTAGAGTTCCTCTGTTCTTAATTGTAATTTCTGGTCTTAGGGACATGTTTAGGTGGTAACAGCATTGGTGATTAACATCCACCCACAGAGGCCAAATGAATTACCTTAATCTGGGATCCAGGGATGGATTTCAGAGGGGTCCTGAAACCCCTGAAAGCACATGTAACATTGTGTATGCATGTATATTTTATCAGAAGAGGACTCAAAAATTTCACTAGCTTCTCAGAACAGTCCGTGGCCCCTCTAGGACAGTCTGTGGGAACTCATTTGGTAATTCCTCCATTCCTAGACAAGAAAAGGGTCTAGCCAAAATCAGTTCATTCTGGCTAACCGGGTAACATTAGCTTAACTATGGAGTAACCATAACCTATGGGAAAGGGGCATGAGCACCCAGTTAACCACCACACACACCCCAACCTGGAACTCCTCTCCCAGTCTTAATCGTCTCTTCCCCTGAGGGTCCCATCAGGAAGGCCCACCAGAGCATATTTTATTTACCTGGATCTCTGGTCCTCAGGACTAGAAGCAATAAATTATAAAAGAAAAGGATATTACAGGATTTAGACAGGCAAATGATAGCAGTAAGAACAAATGTGATCTCTCTGAACCTCAGTTCCCTAATATGTAAATGTGATACAGTAACAACTATCTCATATGGCTGCTATGAGGATTAAATGAGATATCCCATGTAAAGCTATGGGTATCTGGCACATATTAGGCAGTCAATTAAAGGTTTGTCTCTAAGAGATAGGGTTGTCAGCTTTGATGGTAAAAAAGGAAAAAATACAGAAAATACATGGGAGTACTGGAGCTATGTTGCATCTGAGCAAAAAAGATCACATTTAAAAAAATTTAACCCTTAGAATTTAAGACCTCATAAATACTGGATATTCATAACAGTAAGTCATTCAACACAATTCAGCAAATAAGAGCTGCATGCCTATTATGGGCTAGGCCCTGTCCTACAGCAAAGTATATTCAATATATTTTGTTTTAAGAAGCAAACATAAAATCCACTTAACAAAGATCTCCATACAAAAGTTTGAAATGTCTGAATTCTTTCTTCAACTATACAAAATATAAGGAATCTTAATATAATTTAAATGTTTCAAATATTGCCACTCTTTTTAGACCAGCTGGACTTATCTGAAAAGTAGATATCACAAAACAATTATTTCCTGAATCCTTTAGAGAGAAATTTGGACAGAACAAGAATGTGACTATGTATATGATAGATACTATTATGGTCAGTAGATATTTTAGGATTCTAAAAAAAAAACTTTAGAGCTAGGGTCTTGCTATATTGCCCAGGCTGAACTCAAACTCCTGGGCACAAACGATCCTCCCACCTTAGCTCCCCAAGCAGGGACTCTAGCACCTTGCTCATGCTGTATTTTTGGACACAGAACATTTTCCAATTGGAATTAACATATGATAGGGGAAAAGTGGGCAATTTACAAAAGTATAATCATATACTGTATTCTATAGCTGAAAACAATATTCATTGTTTCCATAGCATATGTAAAGAAAATAGGTTTTCTGAATAATCACCAATAATGAATAAGCCTTCCCTACCTTGGTTATATCCTTTTAAAACAGGAATAAATATCTCCTTCATCACTGGATTACATCACTAAGATTTTAGGTAGAAAAAGAAGCTGGGAGAGTAAACTGATTACATATGCATCAAATGCAAGACACCTAAGTGTTTCTGGATTGTAGGGATAATATGCCCTGGGCTTACTACTGCTTCTTGACCCAAAGAGATTTAAGTATCTGATTTCAATTAGATGCTTTAAGCAGTAAAGCTACATCCATAGAGACACACTTATAGAAGAACTTAAAACAGATAGTTAAGATGTTGAGGAAACTGAGTTCTTTTCCTTTCCTTCTTCTTTCTCTCTCATTGGCTATGCATTTGAACGAAGAAAAAGGTCTTATGATTTTGTGAATCAACCAACTGCAGCAAAATTTAAAAAACTAGAGAGATCTTGACAAACTGGGCACTGACACTGTGAATCTTTGGAGAGGAAGTGTACAAGTTCATGACCTTTGACATAGTATCCACCGGCTAAAACCAACACAAGTGTAAAAGGTAAACTTTAGAAGCAATTGGAATTAGATCAGTGCTGGGAATTCAAAGGACCACATCTAATGTGAAAAGGGGTATTTATTATATTTACCACATAATCTGTGTTCTTCCAAGGCTGTCAGGAATACAAAGGCAGGCATGGTCAGGAGAGAATAAAGGAGAGATGAGTCTTATTTCTCTTTTAAAAAAAGAAAAAGCCAGAGCAATACTTGTAAGTCCAAAAGGATGGACTTGCTAGCAGTGATTGCTTTCATTCTATGTAATTGCTGACAAGTCTCCTGTGGCCAACTGAGACCAAAATTTATTTGGATTAACTTCTGGAATCTCAACAACACCTGTAAGTGGTAGCTATGGATATCAGCATGGAATGACATGTGTTCAATCCTAATGTTTCTCCTTCGTATTCATAAAACCAAAGACAGGAGAACAGAAGAATGGGTTCCAAATGTTCTAGATCTGTGCTGTTCAATATGGTAGCCACTAGCAACATGTGGCAACTGACCGCTTGAAATATGACCAGGCTGAAATACATGTGCTGAAAGTACGTCAATTTTTATATGACTAAATCTTGAAATAATGATATTTTAGATTTACTGAATTAAATGAAACATATTCATAGAATTCATTTCACCTGTTTTCACAAACCAAGAAACTGAAGTACAGAGGTGATTAGGAATATATCCACGGTCACAGAGGTAAGAAGTGGTGAGGTAAGATTCAAATCCCAATGGACCAGCTGACCCCAGATGTATATCAAACACTGCAAAGATTTCAAAGGCCTACACTCTATAGTCTAACTTATTTCACAGATTTTATCTCCTTTTGCTGTCCTTGTCATACTGTCTGATAGGCAAACCAAACCACCTGCTCGTTCCCATATGTACACCCTGTTTTCTGAGCATTGCTCTCTCTGTCTGGGATGACTTTCCTTTCTTATTTCCATATAACAAAACTCAGCTCAAATGATACCTCTTCCACAAAATCTCTCCTGAGCTTCAAGAGGAAACTGATTTTCCTTTCCTTTGAATGTTGCCACACCTTCACCTGTACTTTTGAGATCACTTTATAGTCATACATATATACTTAGTCCATCTTCCTGCTAAGGAGAACTTTACTTTGTATATCTTCCCATCATCCACGCACATAATAGATGCTCTAAGATTCCTCTTGTAAATCAATGAGAAAATAATAAAGATACAGGATCAAAATAAAAACTGCTTTATATAATCAAATACAGGAGAAAAGATGGACTATCAAACTGATATAAAGCAACTGCTTTTCTACTCTCAATTACAGATGGTTGAAAAAAATGGTAGAATAATAACTTCACTCTAACCCACCTCCTTCTATTCAAATGCAAGTACATGATATTTAGCAGACGTCCTTCAGACATGATCACTGCAACCTGGTTCTAGCTCTACTGCCTGGTTGACATCTTCAGGGTAGGTTGACATCTTCAGGTTGACAACTCTACACACCACAAGGAATCCAGGTGTAGTAAACCAGCTGTTTTGAAAATACTTGAGCTGAGTCTTTCATTAAATGGCCACCTCATCAAAGCCCCTCAGAGATGCAAATGTAAGTTTTTCTATACAGTCTCCTAACTGCTAGATTTCATAATTGCTATGTATCAAATGTATCCTAATTGCTAGGTTTAAATTTTTAAAAACCATACATCATGAAAAGATACTTTGCAATCTTTCTAATGATTCAGGGTTAAAGACATCTTTTGGTGGCTGGGTGCAGTGGCTCACGCCTGTAATCCCAGCACTTTGGGAGGCCAAGGTGGGTGGATCATAAGGTCAAGAGATCGAGACCATCCTGGCCAACATGGTGAAACCTCGTCTCTACTAAAAATAAAAAAAAAAAAAAAAACTAGCTGGGTGTGGTGGTGCACACCTGTAGTCTCAGCTACTCGGGAGGCTGAGGCAGGAGAATGGCTTGAGCCCATGAGGTGGAGGTTATAGGGAGCTGAAATAATGCCACTGCACTACAGCCTGGCGACAGAGTGAGACTCCGTCACACACACACACACACACACACACACACACACGCCCGGCATCTTTTAGCTAGTTATTGGCAGGTAGTATATTAAACAGGAAAGTGCCTGAGCACAGAGACAGCACCCAAGGGAAGATAGGAGATGACCAGGTCTGACAATTTACAAGCTCTCTAGGAACTGATTAGAGGTATCTCTATTAACTTTTAAAATGTTTTGAATATTTATTTAAAAAAAAAACAGGCCAGGCGTGGTGGCTCACACCTGTAATCACAGCATTTTGGGGGGCCAAGGCAGGTGGATCACAAGGTCAAGAGATTGAGACCATCCTGGGCAACATGGTGAAACCCCCTCTCTACTAAAAAATACAAAAATTAGCTGGGCGTGATGGCATGTGCCTGTAGTCTCAGCTACTTGGGAGGCTGAGACAGGAGAATTGCTTGAACCCAAGAGGTGGAGACCGTAGTGAGCTGAGATTATGCCACTGCATTCCAGCCTGGTGCCTGGCGACAGAGCAAGACTCTGTCTTAAAAAAATTTAAAAAAAAGCTCTGTGGCTGGGCATGGTGGCTCACACCTACAATCTCAGCACTTTGGGAGGCCAAGGCAGGTGGATCATCTGAGGTCAGGAGTTCGAGACTAGCTTGACCAACATGGTGAAACCCTGTCTCTACTAAATGCAAAAAAATTAGCTGGGCGTGGTGGCACATGCCTGTAATCCCAGCTACTCTGGTAGTTGAGGCAGGAGAATCTCTTGAACCCAGGAGGCAGAGGTTGCAGTGAGCTAAGATTAGGTTTCACCCTGGGCAACAGAGCGAAACTCTGTCTCAAAACAGACAAACGAAAAACCAGCTCCACTAATATTTGTAGGATATACATTCCACTATTACCAATTGCAGTTGTGATTAAGGAAAGGAAGATATTGCATTGGTGTTCTTTAAATATGGAGAATTAAACTAGTGATTTTGGGAACAACTGAACTGGAAAAGGAGAGAAGTCCAGTGTGGCAGGCAGGACACTATCACTGAAAGGAAGCTGAAGGGCTGGCTCCACCACAGTGAACAAATTACAACGCCGTCTTTCAGAAAGGAAGCAAACATGAAGCAAAGGAAATCACAACCCCAGAGAAGCAGCAAATTTCATTCAAGGCAGCTGATGAGGCAAAAGGAAACTTCAAAGCAAAAATCAAAAAAGCCAACAGGCAGACTAATCAACCTGGCATCGCAGAGTGGCCATGGCCCACCTTGACCAAGACCACTGGTCACTGAATGAAGGAAAAAAAAAATAAAACCCACATGGCAAGTGACATAAATCACCCAATCAGCAATAAACTAGAACAAATTAACCATGTTCGTTTATTACTAAGCTACGGAGACATGAGGCAGGAGCCTGAGGTTTCACAAAAAACTGTATCCGGAGAGATCTATGAAACATCTGTACCTCAGGCAAATACGGCAGAGCAACAGCGAAAAGAGGAGTGCTACGGCTCCTTCTCTTTTTAAGCAGGCTTACAGATTTTTAGACCAGAAGCTACCTTGGAGGGAGCATCTACTCCACCTCTCCCAGTTTACACAGAAAACTGAGGCCTTGAGAAAGGAAGGACCACACCAAGACCATGCTCATTAGCCAAGCCTAAGTTTCTTGCTTTTTGACTGTAAAAGAGCGTAGGTTTTCAAAATGGAAGTCTCTGGTTTGACAAGCCTACGGACACCCTTTCTTTCAGAGTTTTATGCAGAGTCCTTGTTTTTATCATTTATTTACAGTTCTCCACTATTATTTCATATCTTGCTTTACTGATTTTATTCTGCCACTATATGTTCTCTATACTTGTATGTACCTATGTTAGTATGACTGTTAACAAATTCCCTAAAACTAAGCACTTTGAACACACAGTGGGATCATATGTACACCTAGAAAGCAGCAGGCATGTGTTCTTAATAGTAAGCCCCTATTAAGTGCTTCACCATGTGCCAGGCACTGTGCTATACAGCATTATCTTATTTAATCCCCAACAAACTTATCAGGTAAGTTAAATTCTCACTGTAATTCATTCCTGTGGTTTTTCCTTCATAGTATGTAGTCTCCTGCAGATTTCTTTTTTTGGTGCCTTGCAGAGGACCCCAACCACAGGCACCATCTAAGCCTTTTTTAAGGATATCTGTTAGGGTAACAGTCCCAATAATACACAGCACCAGCAGCTTTAGGAAAGATGCCTAGCTCTAAGAAAGTGAAGGGGAAACAGGCTTGGGCCTTCCCAAGAATCCATGCCATGTGTCCCAGAGGTGTACTGGCTTTTTTTTTTCTTCCAATAGTGATAATCAGATTTATCCCTTAATAGCTAAAGTCATGCCTCTGCTGGTGACAAGGAGTTAAGAATCTTAAATCTCTAAAGGACAGATGATAACCCAGTACTATCAACTTGGTTTGGGAAGAGAAAGCTGTGAAATGGCCTTAAGTGTCTGATAGGAGATTTTTTTTCAGGCAGACTGAAACACTGTGAATGATGATAATGATAAAAACCAATTTTAAGTAGGTAGGGCTTGAAGTAAAGGAAGTCTCTCTCCCTCTCTCTCTCTCTCTCTCTCTCTCTCTCTCACACACACACACACATTAGAAGAAAGTATTCTGAGATACCCCTTAGCATAAGCCAGGCAAACTACAGTTTCCATGTCCCTGAGAAGGGAAAGTGATGTAAAGAAATGACTATAGCAGCTGATACCTGCACCAACACCGCAGCACTGGGATTTTACTATGAACTACACTTTTTTGTTTTTTTAAAAAGATGGGGTTTCACCATGCTGGTCAGGCTGGTCTCGAACTCCTGACCTCGTGATCCACCCACCTCAGCCTCTCAAAGTGCTGGGATTATAAGCTTGAGCCACCGTGCCCGGCCTGAACTACACTTTCTAGGTGGAACACAGACATATTTTCCTCAGGTGGCCCCTCCTGATTAGACCAAGTTCCTGTGTGACACCAATAACTTTATTAATTTGGCCACGATTATTTTCTTCCATTCTTACCACTAGTTCCCTTTCGAATATCCTGTTGTCACTGGGTACAGAGATCAAGAACTGTCTTTGGCGCCACAGCGGGGAAATCAATGTAGTGTCATTGTATTACCTCATTTCACTACCTCATTGTTTCAGCAAAGAGAATTCCAGGTGGAGTGGATATCCATCCCCTTTAATCCTAAAATTTGAAGTTTTAAGTCACTAGTTGAGAATTCAGCTACTTTGTTGAATCTGAAGATCAAATAATGCAACCAAGTTAACAAAGTAGCATTAATTAACTGTAAACTTTAAAATGTGTGTAAGCTATTAAATAGAAAATACAAGCTTTGGGCCTGACATTCTCCAAATAGATTCATGTGACTCCATCAAATGAGAAAACTTTAGTTTTTTTTTGTTTGTTTAGTTTTGTATTTTTAGTAGAGACGTCTCTCAGGTTCAGTCTGTCATCTAGGCTGGAGGACAGAGGTGCGATCTCGGCTCACTATAACCTCTGCCTCCCAGGTTCAAGTGATTCTCCCACCTCAGCCTCCTGAGTAGCTGGGACTACAGGCACCCACCACCACTCCCAGCTAATTTTTGTATTTTTAGTAGACGGGTTTTCACCATATTGGCCAGGCTGGTCTCGAACTCCTGACCTTGTGATCTGCCCGCCTCTGCCTCCCAAGGTGCTAGGATTACAGGCGTGAGCCACTATGCCTGTCCGAAAACTTTTCAGATTTAATGGCACACCAGGATTTTCCTCTGAAAGGTTCTGGAACTGGCAAACTTATTTCTGGTTAGACCCTCTTTCTTGCCTACTCCTCTCCCCGCTTAACCTGCCTTGTTTTTCCTACCCCAAACAGGATGGGAAAAAAATGTCCTTAAAAGACCTTTCCTTTTTTATGTTACACAATCTCATCTCTGGAATTCAAGTCCTAGTGCTGCTCAGCCCAAATAAGAAGTGCTTGTCACCAGGACGGCGGCCATCTAAACAAGCAGCAGCTGGATGAGAAAAGAGGGCATGTCAGCCCAGAGCAGCAGAGAGGGTTTCTCACGGCAGCTATCTGCAACCCTCCAAGGAGCTACAGAGGCTGCCCATTAAAACCCTGTTAAAACACTTCTGATGTTGTCAGCAGCAGAAAGCTGAAATAGCACAGTGATCGCTGAGATGCTATCTGCCTCAAGCAATTCAGTGGTACTGTCAATACTATGAGCAAGAAGGTACAAGATAAGCAACAATCTAATTTCTACATCAAATTTTCATAAACTCCCTGAGCTGGCAGCACCAGTAATATGGTCACACAGAGACCAACTCAGTGGGCCACCTCTGAGGAAGAAAGACTTTTGTATATTGAGATCTGCCCCAAAAGTCCTGGAGCTGAACACTGCATGGCTCCCAAAACTCCCTAGGAAATATGCCCAGAAAGGAATCACTGGAATGTTCCTCTCCAGGGTATCACTGGGTACCACTGAGACAGGATTACCGGATAGGATCTTTCTGAGAGGTTGTATGTTTAGAGGACAACCTACTCTACCATCATCTACCCGCCTTCATCCCCCATTAGAAGAGTGAACACTTACTGAAAAGGCTACAGACCTGTTTGATTTTGGACTTTACTGCCTTGTTTCATACTTCCTATAAAAATATTAGGTACAGAGCTCAGAATTCTAGTTCTACAGAGCCATCCTTTATCAGCAAACAGAAAATGAGGAGGAAGATCACTTTTTTGGATTCAAGTGACACTACTTGTGTTGAAAACAATGGGACATACAAGCTAATTCTAATCACTTTAAAAGCACAGATTCTGGTATCATTCCATTTAGTAGCTTTCTTTTGGTTCTCCCATGTTTAACATAGGGTGATAAGTAAGGTGACTATCATCCAAACTGGTACACTTTTGGGTGACATAAGCAACAATGATAATTAAACTGGTACAAGTAAAGCTGGGACCTAGGTAAATTTGGATCTGCAGTAACCCTAGCTAAGGCCCTGTCCTCATAGCAAATTGAGAACTGAAAAGTTATGTGACAATACAGGAAATGAGTAAGTGGCTATTTAATCACAAAACTAAACAGCAGGATGGAATGGAGATGTTCAGCCCATCGGCTGTCTTGCTTGCCTAAACAACAAACATCAGCTCTTTGAACCACAATGTTCATGCAAGCAACTGTGCAGACCCATCCCTGTGCCTCTTGGTGAGAGGAAAGGAGTCGTTACCAAAATAATTACAATGCAGGTGCAATTACTCACTGTTGCTTTACATACAGGATTGTAGGACCTCTAGGAACATGAAA